TCTTCACATCCCCATCCATTCCTCTAATTAGAAATACTTGAGGATGGCCATCAAGTTGGGGTAAAGTGTTCAGCACCTTCAGTGCAGGGTGTTCACTTTTGGTCTATCCTTAGCTCCAAGAATTTTCTCAAGTCCTGGGAGAAGCTCTGATGCCATTGAGGCTAAAGGGCATTTTGATAGTTCCTTATTTAGATTATCGCCTGTTAGCTGCTCCTTCTGAACAGAAATTGTGGAAGGATCTCAAGGTTACTTAGAACCACCTACAATCCCTGGGCTAGGTGATCAAATGAGAAAAATAGATAGTCGATAAAGTTCCTGGGGTACAAAATAGATTTGGTAACACAAAAGGTGTTTCTCCTTGCAGACAAACAAGACAAGGTCAGGTAGCCTGGCTGCAGTCAAATCTCCCTGGGGAAGATTTCTGCAGTAATAGGTCTCATGACTGCATGCTTCCCAGTGGTTCCTTGGGCTCGACTTCATGGGAGGCCTTTGCAGTGCTTTCTCCTCAAGACCTGGAATGGCACAGGGGACACCCTGTAGAACAAGGTTCTCCCTCACAGGGTCAAGTAGTCCCTTTGGTGGTGGAGGATGGAAGGTTATCTCTCCAGGGGTCTAGATTACATCTGGCCAATTTCCCTGAAGATGACTATGTATGCCAGCACATGGTGGGGACACATGCAAAATAGTATGACCCAGGACTAGTGGTCAAGGAGTGAGACCAGGTTTTCTTCAAACCAAAGGTTCTTGGCTGTGGCAGGGGCTTTGGTAAGATTTGAGGGTCTTCATCTGCAAGTCCTCTCAGACAACAGTGGCTTATATCAACAGAGGGCAATACCAGGAGTCCCTGTTTGCAGGTAATGACGGAGAAGATCTGGCCTCGGTCTCACAATCAAGGGCTCTCATAATGTGTTAGTGGATTTCCTCAGCTGATAAGCAGTATGCTAGGAAGGAGTGGACCCTCACTGAGGAGGTTTTTTTCTTGGCTTACAGATAAAACTAAAAAAATTAGAATATCGTGCAAAAGTTAATTTATTTCAGTGATGCAACTTAAAAGGTGAAACTAATACAAGATAGACTCATTACATGCAAAGCAAGATAGTTCAAGCCGTGATTTGTCATATTTGTGATGATTATGGCTTACAGCTCATGAAAACCCCAAATCCACAATCTCAGAAAATTAGATTACATGCAATCAATAAAACAAGGATTGTACATCTGAAAAGTATAAGCATGCATATGTACTCAGTACTTGGTTTGGACCCCATGTGACAATTACTGCCTCAATGTGGCGTGGTATGGAAGATATCAGCCTGTGGCACTGCTGAGGTGTTATGGAAGACCAGGATGCTTCACTAGCAGCCTTCAGCTCTTCTGTATTGTTCGGTCTCATGTCTCATCTTTCTCTTGGCAATGCCCCATAGATTCTCTATGGGGTTCAAGTCAGGTGAGTTTGCTGGCCAATCAAGCACAGTAATCCCACGTTCATTGAACTAGGTTTTGGTGCTTTTGGCAGTGTGGGCAGGTGCCAAGTCCTGCTGGAAAATTAAGTCAGCATCCCCGTAAAGCTCATCTGTGGAAAAAAGCATGAAGTGCGCCAAAATCTCCTGGTAGACGGCTGCGTTGACCCTGGACTTAATGAAGCACAGTGGACCAGCAGATGACATGGCTCCCCAAATCAACAGACTGTGGAAACTTCACACTGGACTTCAAGCATCTTGAAGTGTGTGCCTCTCTATTCTTCCTCCATACTCTGGGTCCTTGGTTTCCAAATGAGATGCAAAAGTTGCTCTCATCGGAAAAGAGGACTTTGGACCACTGAGCAACAGACCAGGTCTGTTTTTCTTTAGCCCAGGTAAGACGCTTCTGACGTTTGTTGTGCAGGAGTGGCTTGACAAGAGGAATACATTTGAAGCCCATGACCAGGATCAGTCTGTGTTTGGTGGCTCTTGATGCACTGACTCCTGCTTCAGTCCACTCCTTGTGAAAGTCCAATGCTTTTGAATGCCCTTTTCCTGACAATTCTCTCCAGGCTGAGGTCATCCCTGCTGCTTGTGCACCTTTTTCTTCCACCCTTTTCCCTTCCACATAACTTTCTATTAATGTGCTTTGATACAGCACTTTGGGAGCATCCAACTTCTTTTGCAATTACCTTTTGAGGCTTTCCCTCCTTATGGAGGGTGTCAATGATGGTTTTCTGCACAACGGTCAGGGCAGCAGTCTTTCCCATGATTATGATTCCTACTGAACCAGACTGAGAGACCATTTAAAGGCTCAGGAACTCTTTATAGGTGTTATGGCGTAATTAGCTGATTAGAGTGGAACAATTTGAGACTAGAATATTGGAGCTTCTCACAATATTCTAATTTTCCCGAGATTGTGGATTTGGGGTTTTCATGAGCTGTAAGCCATAATCATCACAATTATGACAAATCACAGCTTGAACCATCTTGCTTTGCATGTAAGGAGTTTCATATATTAGTTTCACCTTTTAAGTTGCATTACTGAAATAAATGTACTTTTGAATGATATTGTAATTTTTTTTGAGTTTCACCTGTATGGAGCTAGCCAGAAATAGACCTATGGCACAGGTGAAGATGCCAAGATTTTTGTCTTCCCCTATCAATCTGGTGCATTGGCCATAGATGCTCTGGCAAATCCATGGCCCTACAATCTAGCTTATGCTTTCCTCCCCTTCAAGCTGATTCCAGTGGTATAATGGAAGTTTCAGCTAGAGAAGTTGTATCTTATTCTGATAGCTCCACATTGGCCAAAACACCCATTGTATATATACATATACACACACACACAACACCTGTGTGGAAGCGACCTAAGTGGTATTATAACAAAGTGCAAGCAAGTGGGAACAACAGCAACTCAGCCACAAAGTGGTAGGCCACGTAAAATGACAGCAGGGTCAGCGCATGCTGAATTCCCCAACTGCACAAGCATTAGATAAAAAGATCGCCAAACTTCAGGTGGCCTTCACATTAGCACAACAGTGTTAATAGAGCTTCATGGAATAGCTTTCCATGGCAAAGCGGCTGCATCCAAGCCTTACATCACCAAGTACAATACACCTTAGTTCCAGTGAAGGGAAATCTTAAGGGGTCAGCATATCAAGACATTTTGGACAATTTCATGCTCTCAACTTTGTGGGAACAGTTCAGGGATCATCCCTTTCCTGTTCCAACATAACTGCTCACCAGTGCACAAAGCAAGTTCCACAAAGACATGAATTAATGCGTTTGGAGGAGTAGGAACTTGACTGGCCTGCAGAGTCCTGACCTCAACCTGACAAAACACCTTTAGGATGAATTAGAGCGGACACTGCAAGCCAGGCCTTCTCGTCCGACATCAGTGCCTGACCTCACAAATGTGCTTCAGGAAGAATGGTTAAACATTCCCATAGACACACTCCTAAACCTTGTGGACAGCCTTCCCAGAGGAGTTGAAGTTGTTATAGCTGCAAAGGGTGGGCCAATTCAATAATGAATCCCTACGACTGGGATGACATTAACTACTTGCCCTCCAGAGAATTCACCCCCCATCCTGCCCAGGCCATTTTTTTTGCAATACAGAGCTACGTTACTTTAACTGACAATTGCAGTCATGCATCGCTGTGCATAAATGAAATTTGTCTTTCCCCCACAAATAGAGCTCTTTCAGCTGTACTTGATCACCTCTGCGGTTTATTTATTTTTGTGCTATAAACAAACATTAAATAATGACAATTGAACAAAACCCAATATTTTTTACCTTCTGCTATAAAACATTCAATAAAATAAAATGTAAAAGAAAAAAAAAAAAAAAAAAAAAAAGATTTAGGCCAAAATGTATTCTGCTTCATGTCTTTGCTAAGAAAAAAAAAATCCCAATATGCATAAATTAATTGGTTTAATTGTTCCAGCCTGCACATTCCACCCACCCGCAGTAAATGTACTGTGGGCGAGAGACAAGTGGTTAATCAATTGTTCAACATCCCCCCTTCCCCCAATCCATCACAATATTTCCTCACAATTACTGCATTTTCCCTCATTTTTAGTTTCAGTGAAGGGTTGCCAGAAGAAATAGAGGGGGTTAAAAGTCCCAAAGCAGGGACACAAACGGCAAAATAATCTCGACAGAGGTCTCAACTCCCCCACACTAAGTTTTAGCTTTAGTTACACTTTAAATTGTGGTTAGAAGCTCTCAAAAGTCTGATTGCCCATGTCAGAGCAAACACCAGAATTTTCAGGAAAAACAAAAACAACTTTAGAATAAGCTGACAATTTATTTTACCAAGCTGAACACTGGAATCCAGGAATGTTTCTGGCACATAAGTATTGCAATAATCTTATAAAATAAAAAACAAAGCCTACTGTCAACACATAGCATCAAACTCATAAAACTTCAATAAAACGGTTCTGTAATATGGGACAGCTGAAAACGAGAAAGAAATATATACAGATTATGACCTGGACAACATTTAAATTAACATTTCTTACTACTCTCAAAATAAGATTAGATGGCCATAGACTAACTTTCGACTAAAATCTGTTTTTATTAAAAGTGAAATAGTGCCAAAAAATGTACCCTTCAGGAGGATTAATACAGAGTTCTTGATTAAGTGATATTTACAAAACCAGGCTTGGATCCCAATGCTACACTTGAGTTGCACGGTCTCCAAAAAAAGTTTTTGAAATACTTCCTGTTCAGTTAGACATCATGGTCCAAAACAGTTGCTCTTAAATAGTGTATAAATTCTGAACTACATGGAATAAAAGGAACACAGAACCATTTTGAAACAACGGTTAAGATCCTCCACATAAAACCTGCTTTAAAATAGAAACATTTGGCAAGTAAATAAAATGTGTGGCGATGCAAGATGTCATCGGATCATAGCAACATCAGTGGAACACCATATGTAACCGAAGTCCATGTCTTAACGGTGCACCATGTTAAAAAGGTCTTCATATTATATAACACATATACAGAAAAGTTAAAATGGCAAAAGCCAACTGTTATGAAGTTTTCCGAAAGCCTTTCAGAATTGGGTATATGTTTTCTCAAATGCTTCATAGATCTCTGCTCTAACTTTAGCGCCTGGGAAAAAAAAAAACAAAACAAAAAAAAACACACCATCAAAGCAGGTTCTCCTAATATAGTCGGGAAACAAAGATCACATTGCAAGGTTTTAGGGTTATGTTACAGTAAACGTTGAATGGGATAGTAGACAAGGCAAATCTATTAAAATTGCAGAATAGATACAATTTTATGGTTTAGCGCAAGCAGCAAGGTTCACTGTCCACAGTACCTTTTGTTGTTTGCACTACAATGAAGTCAGATTTGGTTGCCATGAGTTACTGCACATCAGTATTCCCTGTATTCTCACAGTACACCGGTTTCAGGGTCATAAAAAACATCCACAACACACACCCTCTACTACCAAGCAGTACCTTCTAATCTACACGGTGCCCATTTTATTGTTCGGGTTTACATACACTTTAAAGTCAATCTATACTTTGCCCGTGTTATGCAAAGAAATAAGAGTTCTTGTCTGCGATTACCTTACTCGTGCTGCCTAGGTTGGCTTACCAGAGCTCCCAGAAATTCTGTCATTCTCACAGCCCAATTTACTATAAAACGGGTAGCAAATTTTGACCCTCTAGCAAGTCCATTGAGGCATTGCAAGACTATGAAGGCTACAAGCACAACTTCCAGAGGCAAAAAAGGGACTTTTAGTTTTGCTTTAGCTGGAAAGCCAAATGCCTCCACTTTAAAGCAAGCCTGTACTTTGCTAATGTTTTATATGGTAACAGTTCCGCTGCATGCACTTGCCTTCCCTGTAATCTGGCCCAATTAGCTACCAAAGTTCCCTTTGACTCCTGTACAAGTTTTGACTTTCTGAAAAGTCAATTTTAACAAACAGCGTCACTGCAAGAAGGATCACCAAAGCAACACATTTTCACCTTTAATGCTGAAATCAACTGCGACAGCGAGAAGGGGAGCAGCGATTTCACTCTGTGGGTCATGTCACAGTGCTCAGGGCTTAGCTGATGGCTGCTAGGCCTTGACAGTCACATGAGGAGAAAGTCACATGCTCCTCCATACTCTTAAGTGCTAACTATAATTACCAGCTGCAGAGGAGCAAAGAGCTGCAAGGTGACGTAGGGAAAGAGACTAAGTGAGCTGCAGGATGCCCTTTGAAAAGACACAGTCACTTTACCCTGCATAGGCACGGTGACAGCGTCTCTTTAAGCAAGTCCAACACCATATCCAAGTTTATCACTATGCAACAAAACTATCGTACAGGTTTGCTGCAAGGACGCATGCAGACACTCTAGTTGTAGTATAGTCATTTCAGAATATATTTTACAGAGATAAAGGCTACAATAGTTGTCACCTGATTGTATGACATGCCATGTTATTTTTTAAAGGAAATCTGTTCAGGGGAAAGTGTGGAAGTCATTGCTGATGACTTAAAAACGCTGGCTGCTTGGCTGTCTAGCTAAAGTACTCAGAAAACCACTAATATTGAACAAACATGCATTATCAGAAATAGTATTTTTAGTATCTGCATACTTATGCTAATCCAATGAATTCATAACTTTTTAATGCATTGACTATGTAGAACAGGCAGATAGCCATTTTCTTCAGGACAGGTAAGTTTTGGTACCCTCCATATTTGCTCAGTACAGGTTCCCTTTAAAAAAAAAAAAAAAATTTCAAGTGCACCTACCCCTGTAACGCCCCTCTAACTGGGCAAAGATCGGATTGTGAATCCTTTGCCACTCCTGTACTGACTGCATACTGTTGTTCTAAGAGTAGCCTGCTTTACTAATCTGACAGGCTAAATATGCTCACATACAGTCACTACAGGCAGCAATATTAGAATTTTTAGACCATCTGGTAAGACCTGAAATAAACAGCAGCAGATTTTTGCAACAGGTCTGCTCTAAAATTGCAAATGGTAGAATTAAACAGAGAATGTATTTGCAGCTGCTCCATTATATTTCCATTTATAAAGGACAAGCTGTTCCTGGTTCACGTGCCTAATGAAGCCCAATATTGAATAACAGCATTACAAGTTCACCCCTTGGCCCTGGCACCTCCTAGCCCTTTAAGGAGTTTCAGATGCTGGAAGGCAGGGCGGGCTTTCTGATCACGTGACCGCCGCAATTGCTTTCAGATAGCCTCCAGTAACTGTGCCATGAGCGTATATTGTATGCACTCTCAGAACAGTTCTGTTTATCTTTAAGTATGTATTTATGTGGCCTCTACGCATTAATGCCCGATTGTTGAGAGGCTGCATATATGCATATGTCAACCGGGAAGCGGTTGAGGTTTTTGGTTGCAAGGAAAAATTATCCCTACATTGTACTAGTTCACCTGAAGTTATTTTTATAATAAATTACAACTTACCCGTCAATACAACTTTTCCAGAAACAAATATCAGGAGAACGATTCTTGGCTTGATCATTCTGTAAATAAGGCCAGGAAATAACTCTGGCTCGTAACTGGGGAATGAGAGAAAAAAATAATTTTTAAATAAAAGAAAAAAGGATATTAACACTTCAGTTGGTTAACAGAAAATGGTCTGCATCTGTCCATAAACATGCTCCGCATGGTTATTTAAAGACACATCTAATATAACCACATACATGCACAGCTGATGGATACTGCCACATAATTTTTTGGCTATTGTGGATTTATTGACCAAGAACATGTATACCTGTCAGAAAAATAAAAAAATCCTTCTTATTGTTCTGGGATAGTTGCTCAGAAGGGTTGATAAAAGGTCTTCTTGACAGCTGGCCACTAGCATTTGCAGAAAAAGTCAGGACTGACAGCCTCAATGTGTTTCTCAGGCAATGCTTCCCTTATCCACTTCCCAACCACGTTATAGCCGAAAGGATGGCTACAGCGCGGTTGTCTAGTTCTGGGAGGATGTCCATGGACGTCCTCCCAGAACACGCCCCCAGTGCCATCGGTGATATGGTAAAAGGCCAATCACAGCGGCCCTTTACTATGTTAGTAGCTGTGTCTTATGACACAGCAGATCACTGAGTAAATACCATTGCCGGTTATCGGCTGCACTTTCCTCATGCTGTCACAACGTGAGGAAAGTACAGCCGAGAATCGGCAATTGTCAGTGAAGGGATTGGCACTGATGATCAGTGTCCAGCAGTGTCGCCTACCAGTGCCCTGCAGTGCCACCCACCAGTGCTGCCTATCCGTGCCACCTCATCAGTGCCCATTAGTGCTGCCCATCAAAATTTTATAATAGAAGCAAAAAAAACTTTTTATTTAAAATGTTTTGCTCTTTCAAAAAAAAAAAAAAAAAAACCCAAAAAAAAAAAAACAAAAAAAAAAAAAACACCCCAGCAGCGATTAAATACAACCCAAACTTTCATATGGGTACAGTGTGGCACGCAATTGTCATTCAAAATGCGACAGGGCTGAAAGCTGAAAATTGGCCTGGGCAGGAAGGGGAAATAAGTTCCCTGTAGGCAAGTGGTTAAAGATCGGCCATTGCCACATCTAGTGCTCATGGTCCATTTTGAGTTCCTTTCTATGCTGTTCACTTCCTCCATGTTGCATCTCAGCAGTCCATGTGATGAGTCACACATGTGGGCAGGTTGTAAGATGGTGATCAATGGAGGAGTAACCTCTCCCTGTTAGTCCCAGCACAAACACACAACAGACATGCTGGAGGGGCATCACACAGCCTGTTGCTTGGCAGTAGCTCCTCCAGATAACCACAGGCCCTCCAAAGGATTTACCCCCCTTCCTGACCAGGCCATTTTTTGTGTTACGGCGCTGCGTTACTTTAACTGACAATTGCACAGTCATGCATCGTTGCACCCAAATGAAATTTACGTCCTTTTTTCCCCCACAAATAGAGCTTTCTTTTGGTGGCATTTGATCACCTGTGCAGTTTTTATTTTTTGCACTATAAACAAAAAAAGGAAAATTTTGAGGGAAAAAACAAAACAAAAACAGTATTTTTGACTTTTTGTATTAAACATGTCCAATTTAAAAAAAAAACCGAACAAAAAAAACAGATTTCGTCACAAATTTTGGCCAAAATGTATTCTGCTACATGTCTTTGCTAAAAAAAAAAAAAAAAAAAGACCCTATACATGTAAAGTAATTGTTAATTGGTTTACGTGACAGTTAACATTTAATAATGCAAAAAATTGAAGATAAGTGAGCGCTAAATTAAACACAATATGTTAGCAGCTATGCACCAAAGGCACCATATAAGACCTTAAGGTAAACAGTAATATAATGAAAGGGTGCAGCGCTAGTAAAATTCACAAAGATAATATATAAATAACCAAAAGCAATAAATTCATAAATAATCAATAAAGTGACATTGTGCAAGTATATATGCCACTATAATCTGTGGCTAATATTGTGAAAGATATGTAACCAATCAACTAAGTCCAAAGTGACAATGTGAGTAACCGTGGATGAGGTGAGAAAATAGGGTAAAGACTGCGCACACACCAGATACGCAATCTTTATGCGCATTTGTACAGTGGGGCAAAAAAGTATTTAGTCAGCCACCAATTGTGCAAGTTCTCCCACTTAAAAAGATGAGAGAGGCCTGTAATTGGCATCATAGGTAGACCTCAACTATGAGAGACAAAATGAGAAAAAAAATCCAGACAATCACATTGGCTGATTTGGAAAGAATTTATTTGAAAATTATGGTGGAAAATAAGTATTTGGTCAATATCAAAAGTTCATCTCAATATTTTGTTATATATCCTTTGTTGGCAATGACAGAGGTCAAACGTTTCCTGTAAGTCTTCACAAGGTTGGCACACACTGTTGCTGGTATGTTGGCCCATTCCTCCATTCAGATCTCCTCTAGAGCAGTGATTTTTTGGGGTGTCGCTGAGCAACACGGACTTTCAACTCCCTCCAAAGGTTTTCTATGGGGTTGAGATCTGGAGACTGGCTAGGCCACTCCAGGACCTTGAAATGCTTCTTACGAAGCCACTCCTTCATTGCCCGGGCAGTATGTTTGGGATCATTGTCATGTTGGAAGACCCAGCCACGTTTCATCTTCAATGCCCTTGCTTATGGAAGGAGGTTTGCACTCAAAATCTCACGATACATGGCCCCATTCATTCTGTCCTGTACATGGATCAGTCATCCTGGTCCCTTTGCGGAGAAACAGCCCCAAAGCATGATGTTGCCACCCCCATGCTTCACAGTAGGTATGGTGTTCTTTGGATGCAACTCCGCATTCTCTCTCCTCCAAACACGACGAGTTGCGTTTCTACCAAACAGTTCTATTTTGGTTTCATCTGACCATATGACAATCTCCCAATCCTCTTCTGGATCATCCAAATGCTCTCTAGCAAACTTCAGACGGTCCCGGACATGTACTGGCTTAAGCAGGGGGACACGTCTGGCACTGCAGGATCTGAGTCCCTGGCAGAGTAGTGTGTTACTGATGGTAGCCTTTGTTACGTTGGTCCCAGCTCTCTGCAGGTCATTCACTAGGTCCCCCCGTGTGGTCCTGGGATTTTTGCTCACCGCTCTTGTGATCATTTTGACCCCACGGGGTGAGATCTTGCATGGAGCCCCAGATCGAGGGAGATTATCAGTGGTCTTGTATGTCTTCCATTTTCTAATTATTGCTCCCACAGTTGATTTGTTCACACCAAGCTGCTTGCCTATTGCAGATTCAGTCTTCCCAGCCTGGTGCAGGTCTACAATTTTGTTTCTGGTGTCCTTCGACAGCTCTTTGGTCTTCACCATAGTGGAGTTTGGAGTGTGATTGTTTGAGGTTGTGGACAGGTGTCTTTTATACTGATAACAAGTTCAAACAGGTGCCATTAATACAGGTAATGAGTGCAGGACAGAGGAGCCTCTTAAAGAAGAAGGTACAGGTCTGTGAGAGCCAGAAATCTTGCTTGTTTGTAGGTGACCAAATACTTATTTTCCACCATAATTTGCAAATAAATTCTTTCCAAATCAGCCAATGTGATTTTCTGGATTATTTTTTCTCATTTTGTCTCTCATAGTTGAGGTCTACCTATGATGCCAATTACAGGCCTCTCTCATCTTTTTAAGTGGGAGAACTTGCACAATTGGTGGCTGACTAAATACTTTTTTGCCCCACTGTATATACTTGCACAATGTCACTTTGATTATTGATTATTTATGAATTTATTGCTTTTGGTTATTTATATATTATCTTTGTGAATTTTACTAGTGCTGCACCCTTTCATTAAAATAACATTTAATAATGGCAGTATATATAAACTAAAATTTTTTTTTTCACTGGTAATGGCGGCGATCGACTTATAGCGGGAATTATGACACTGGGGGGAACTGACTTGGTGTGACTGACATCCCCAATGACACCAATACAGTGACCAGTGCTAATAAAAAGCACTGACACTGTAGTAATGGGACTGGGCAGGAAGGGGTTAACATCTGGGGTGATCAAAGGGTTAACTGTGTGCTATTTCACAGTATGCGGTGTCTGTGCTTTCCACTGTAAGTACACTGCTTTGTATGGCTCTGCTATGCAAAGCAGTGTGCAGGAGCTGACAGGAGAGAATTGTTTACATACAGTTCTCTCCCTCAATCAATAATACTTGGTGATCACCGGATGCTGGCGAGCAATCACCGGCCAGAACCCGGTAATTGACAGCAGAGGCCGCGAATGGTGGCGCGGGGGGCAGGGTGTGCGTGTCCATTGGTCCTGACGAAGCTGAGTGAGATACGCCCATCTGCAAAACGCGTTAACGTCATACGTCAGATACGTCACTTACGGTCATGCGCACTGGTGATACACTCGCCGACCTACAAGGAGGTAGCCATGTTCACATGCCATGAGTCATGCAAAGGCTGTACAGGCGCCATGGAGAGGTCGGAACCCGCGAAATGTCGGCTGATGTAAGCGGTGGTTCCCTGGATCAACATGGCAGTACCTATGAAGGAATTATTTTCTTCTTTTTTCTACTACCCATTGCACAGGTGGTGAGTGGACTGTTACAGGACATTTGAAAAAGGTCCCTTACGATCTATATGATACAATATATATCTACTACAGAGTGAAAGCTCTTACAGTGACTTATATCGTTTGTCTTATTACAGGATGGGGACATTATGGTGTTTTACATAGAAACAAGGCATACTACATATATTACAACAGGCGGAAGATCTACTGGGTCTTATCTTGTTTCCAACACTAAAGTGGTTTGCAGTCCACATGCTGTGGTGAAGAAACCATTTAAAGCAAATTTCTGCTATTTTGCATCTATGTTTCCATCAAGACAACAATAGGGACTCTTTCAATTATAAGAATCCTTACAACCATTCACGTCTATTATAGATTTATGGGCCCCAACCACGTGTGCTGGTATAGGGTTGTACTGCATATATATTATTTTTTACCCATATATTGCCTTCTATAGGCTTAAGGTCATGCCTCTCTTTTGACGAATACTGTATCCGTCGTTTTGCATGCATGTGATATGATATACCCTTGGTATAATTTTTGGAAAATCCCCTTTATAGGGGTGTAACCTATATGGTAATGAGATATGCTTTATATATATATATATATATATATATATATCATGTGATATTGCATACCTATGGTATAATTTTTGAATATACCTCCTTTGGGAAGTGTTACCTATGTGCCAGTGCTGCAAATGCTTTAGACTATTGTGGTCATAGCTTTTGTAGCACATATACCTAGACCGGTCTTGGTGTGACTTTTATGGTTTTAGGTCTGTGTGTATTGTCTCATACTGAGGTGATGGTAAACCAGGGCGATTGCCCATATGTCAATCATTAATGTGAAATAAAGCATAAATTTTTGGAAATTTTTCTGAGTATCGCATTCTGTTCATAATGTAGCCGCTTTCCTGTGAATCTCTTTTCACAAACCCCATTTTTTGTCAGGGTGTGCGTGTCCCCTACCCAGAACTGCAAAAATATATATATTTATATACCTACCTCTTTAAAGAATGGGATGCACAAAAAGTTTATTTGCACTCCGACCGGTACTGTTGGAGGTAAAGGTTTGAACAGTTTGTACTAGGGATTACATTCATTGTACTTCTATTTTGGCCACAGGAACAAAAATATTACAATCACAAAGTTTGGAATTTACCTGCTAAACTGTTGATGTGTAAGGACCAAGCCTTCTAATCTGATTGGGAACTTCACATCACAGCTCCCTACCATATTTTGAATTTTAAAATCTAGAAACTTTGCTGGAAATCCCAACTTCTGCACAACTCGAGCATACTTTCTGGCTGCCAAACGCGACTGCTCCTCACTATTAAGAAAGGAAAGCAAAATCAGTAATAAGCATGGTTTATATGGCAGTACTGATACTTCACATCTATGCCAACTATCATGTCGAATAGCTTTTTTTTTTTCCCTTCTGCACTGATATTATGTATAAACAGTGTGACCTGCTCTATTATTTAGAGTTGTGCTAGTCAACTCACAAGTAATAGGGGGCCTCAAATGTGGCCCCAGATGTCACCAAGGGACTGCAAAATGTAATATTCTATCAGAAGGCTCTCAGAATGCATATATGCACATAATAATATACAGGGATGTTGGATTCCTATCGCCAGACGTCCAGGATATGTAGTTCTGGGCGCCAGGTAGGTAGTTTCTTTCTACCTTTAGCCCTGCTGTCAGGTGAAGCAATTGAAGGCAGCAGTACCGCCGATTGCTTCCACACAGTGCCAGCCTCTCCGCGCCCCCCGTTTGAGGTCTCCCGGGCTCCGCTTGCCAGGTTCGCCATCGGCTAGAGGGGAGGGAGAAGAGTAGACATGTCAACTCCCCTCCCCTTCTTGTGCTGACCCGGAAGTGACGTTATGTCACTTCCGGGTCCCCAATGAGGTGTTGTTTTTTTTTTTTAAATTATAAAAAATAAGTTACACCCAAGCACATACCATCACCTCCAAAAAAAATATTGTGGCCCCCACCACCACATATACGCACATACAAATGTAAAAGAACAGGAGCTTTAAAAGTGTCGACCTATAGAAAATATAGGGTACTGAAGTTCGTCACCATTTCACAAGCACTCACAAATTTAAGGTTTTGACAAGTTGGATATCTATTTTCTCGCTGCAACCTCATCTTTTATATTTTACAAAACAATAAGGCAATTTATTGCTTTTTTGTGCCCTAAAATTAACTTTTGTCTTTTTGTGTACATGTTAGCAGATATAGTGAGTGTTTACGTACCTCCAACTGTAATCTTACATGCAAAACATTAGATTCTAAAAAGCGAAAGTTATTACTGTATTATAGTTATGATCGTATAGGAGTTGTCTGTATATTGCCACTCATATGATTTCATTTTTGCAGATCGAGTTCTGTAGAAGTTCTGGCTACTTTTTTATGTTTTTTTATGCTACAAGGAGATTAAATAAAACACTATTAAAAATATCCTTATGGGCAACACACAAAAATTTTTTCATTGAAATTAATTTCAGACCTATTTAGCATTCCACTAATGTAGCAAATTGCTTTAAGATGGAGAATGTCAATCTTCCTCCACTCTGACAGTTGAGAAGGTGAAGACTACCTTTTAGCTCCTGTGCAGACCATTTTTCCAGAACTGAATATAAGTGCTGTTGTACGTGGCTCTCTTATTCTCATGATAACAGCAGCAAAACGCTGGGGGACAGAACAAAAATGTTAGTTAGAATTTTATATAGTTTGCAACAGAATTATGCCAACCTAATAAAAGCTACTTCCCCTCCCCGTTAGTTACAATCAGTGGTATAACGCTTTCTAAATTACATACTGAAAATTTAGGTACTCACCTTCGGATTATACTCAGCATTTCGCGCTCTAAGTGCAATTGTTTTCAGATCTAATTTGCAGCCAAGATTGACGGTAGACACTATATTTCTGGAGAGAAGAAAATACCCATGATTATGGCATATTTTACCTATACCAACCTGGAATAAAACATGCAAACCAGGAGCTCTAACTTTACTAGTTGAATGCTTGTTCCAGGTTAGTTAGGAAATAGCAGCCTCCATATCTCAAGTGTGTTCTTTGAAGTTTAATTAACCACTTGCCCTCCAGAGGATTTACCCCCCTTCCTGACCAGGCCATTTTGTGCTTTACAGCGTTGAGTTACTTTAACTGACAGTTGTATGGTCATGCAACGCTGCACCCAAATTAAAATTTCCCCCCACACATGGAGCTTTCTGTGGTATTTCATCACCTCTGTGGTTAATTTTTGTGCTATAAACAAAAAAAGACCGACAATTTTGGAGGGGAAAAAAAAAATTTTTTTTTTTTACTTTTTGCTATTGAACATGTCCAATAAAAAAATGTTTTAAAAAAATCTAAATTTCGTCATAAATTTAGGCCAAAATGTATTCTGCTACCTGTCTTTCCTAAAAAAATACCAATACATGTAAATTAATTGGTTTATGTGAATGTTAGTGTCTACACATGGCGGTATATACACTGCAATTTTTTTTTTTAATACTAGTAAAGACGGCGATCAGCGACTTATAGCGGGACTGCGGCGGGAATTCTGACACTGGGAGGGGGGGGGGGGGGGGGGGACTGACTAACCATCACTGACATCCCCAATGACAGAAAGGGGTTATCTGTGGAAATCAAAGGGTTAACTGTGTGATGTCTGTGTTTCACTGTGTAAGCACATTGCTTTGTATTGCTCTGCTATGCAATACAAAGCAGTGTGCAGGAGCTGACGGGAGAGATCTGTATTGGTTTCATACAGACCTCTCCCCTGTCAGCGATACACGGCAATCGCCGGGTGCCGGTGGGGAATCACTGGCCGGACCCAGTGATCGACAGCTGAGGTCGCCAATGGCAATGCAGGTAGGGTACACGCGAGTTTGCGCAGCCCTGCAGCAGTATTTCTGCTATAGGGCAGGCGGGAAAGCAATTAAACTAAAAATATTTAAAACCGCTAAAATATACGGCTACAAAAACCTGTCCCCCATCTAACATGCTCCAGTGCAAGACCCTTGCTCTCTATGTGGAAGCAGTGGTCTATCTGTAGAGGTCAGACACACCCCTCTGCCAAGTCAGAACTCCAGCTCTGCAATCAACAAAGCTCATGCTTTCTGCTAATTGAGAGGTCGAATCCAGACTTAGCAGAACACAGGCTGTTCTACTTAGGCTGTTTGCTGCTTTCTAAAGATTCGGTCACACAACAATGCAATTCAAACAGAAGCAGCAAGAGAGAGATTTACTATGATATTACAGCTCAAGTCAAATTCCTCCTACTACTGCTCTAAAAGCATCACTGTGACAGAATGAGACTTGTCCCAACAACTTCATATTGTGAGTCTGAAGGGAAATACTGTCATCTACAGAGATAAAACTATCACAGAACCCTGCAAATCTGTCATACTTGGCTGCCCAGGATTACAGGCACAGGGGTCACAAAAGAATAGATAAAAACTTTAACATAGACTTAACCTAATTTGTGTCGAACTGTGTTAATTTGCTTGACCAGTGTCACCAAATATGTTTTGATACATGTGGAACATATTCAGCCAGTTTAAACTGAAGGCTCAGTTGGGCTTTAAAAGTGTATTTGTATACTGCCCCCAAAAATAAATAAAATTTTTAAGCGGGTTTAGAAATACAGCAAATCTGAAAAAGTTAAAATGTCAGAACAGTAATGTACTGCAGCTGTCAAATGTTTGTGATGATGCAAGCTCAAGAACAGTGATCTTTTTCCTTCTTTTAGTACCTGAACAGTCCCTGATGCAGACAAGAAGCATGTCATGTTGGGTGTCCAGAAACTTCTCTACTCTTGTTCCAAACAATAAAATTGGTCCCCAATAGGGTATATGCTTCAAAAAAAAAAAAAAAAAAAAAAAAAACCCAAAAAAACAACCAACCAGCAACAACACTAAAAAGAATTAGAGAACCTTTTATTTATTTATTTTTTTTTTTATAAAGTTTGGCATTCAATACTACCTTATACAGTTTTTATCTTTGGGATTGATCTGTGTTTGTTTCAGCTTAGTGACTCATTAGGTAGCAAAACAAGAATAAGGATGAAAGCCCCAGAGCAAGCAGTTATTATACTGCTATTCTGAAGTTCTCCCTTTAATCATAGTCTTTAACCGCCTCCCGCCCACCATATAGTACAATGACAGGCGCAAGGCGGTTCTCTTGTTCTGGGAGGACGTCATATTAGTGATGCCTGCCAATGCCCATCAGTTTTACCTATCAGTGCCACCTATCAGTCTCCATCAGTGCAGCCTATCAGTGCCCATCACTGCAGCCTCATTTGCACACATCAGTGGAGAAAAATCATTTACAAAATTTTATAACAAAAACGAAGAAAAAACATTTTTTTTTCCAAAATTGGTTTTTGGTTTAAGAAAAAAATAAAAAACCCAGAAGTGATTAAATGCCACCAAAGGAAAGCTCTATCTGTCTCAAAAAAATGATAAAAATTTCATATGGGTACAGTGTTGCATGACCGCGCAATTGTCATTCAAAGTGTGACAGCGCTGAAAGCTGGAAATTGGCCTGGGCAGGAAGGGGGTATAAGTGCCCTGTAGGCTAGTGCTTAAAGCGGAACTTCACTCCATCTGAGCACCACAAACCAAAAAACATTGTTCATTCAATTCATTTTAAATACCCAAACAAAACTCACCCATTCATCAGTGTGTTCATGTTTTATTTTGCTCAGAAATCACTTTAATAACATAAAAAAAAAACAAAAAAAAACACAACACCCCCTAGCATTTCTGGCCATGGCCATCTTGAGTAAGGGCAGATGATTCACGTAGCATTAACTTCCTTGAATCCATAAGCCCTTAGCTCCGCAATGCAGGCAGGGGGGTGTGCTTAGCTGAGAAAACCCCTCCTGAAGACTCCTGGAATGTATTCCGTTTGCATAAGCATGGTAACCCAGAAGTAACTGAAGAAATGTTAAACTTTTTTTTAAATCAAGTAAATATGATATACTTTCCTATCTATTTACTAATGCTAGCAGCATAAGGATTAAATAATAGTCAATGTTGACTGAGAGGGTGAAGTTCCACTTTAAGTTCAACATATGTTCCCACCTAAAAGCAACACATTTTGTCCATCTCCATTATCTAGGTCTTCCACTTTAAAAACAAAAAAAAGTTGCTTACTGCAACTGAGGTACGATCCCAGAACTTTCTGAAGCAGGAGTGGCTGGGGTAATAGGAGTCATCGGAGTCATGGGTGATGTATAAAGCGGTGTATTGCCTGGAAGTGGTGCTGTTGTTAGAGTCTGTGAGTGAAAAAGCTGTGGGGTCTGTCCGGTCCCCTGAGCAACCTGCTGGGATGTGGACTGCTGGGCCTGTTGTTGCTGTTGTCTTTGTTGTTCCTCCAGAATCGATAAACTATTTGCAGTTTGTACAGGTTGTGGTGTCAAGCCAGTGCCATAGGGCATCATAGGGCTAAAGATGGGAATTCCTGGAGTCATTGCGCCCTATAAAATAAAAAAAAAACAAAATAAAAACAAATTTTTTTTATAAATTTCATGTTGTGCCACCTTGAGAAAAAACAGAAAATAAGACTAGGTGAAATTTTGAAATTTCCCCATTTATCAATTATGCCATGGTTTGTAACTTCAGTTTTTTTCTGATCTGTCTTTCTGGATGGTCCAATTGGGCACTGAACTTCTGGAACACAGAATGATTCGGCAAAAAATCCCCCCAAAAAAACAACACAACACGCACAAAGTAGTTGCTCCCAGAAATTTACCCCAATACATGTTATAGAATGGTATTGCTCCCATACCATTGCTAGATAAACCAAATGATTCTTTGTTTACCTGTGGGGAGGCCAGACCCTGGAAAGTCGATATACTGTTATTCTGATCCATCTTGTTCCTTGCACCTCTCTCCAAGTTCAGAAAGAAAAAAAAAACCTTTGTGTGTTTATATGTAGTTTCAAATCATCCCAAAATCTTCTGAAAACTGCAAAAATACAAAAAAAATTGTCACAATTCTATAAAAAAAAACCCAAACAAAAAATCCCACCACAGAAAAGAGCTTAAAGTGGAACTGCACTGCATTTCAGAACCACAAGCCAAAAATGCCATTTAATTAAATTTTAATATTCAAAGCAATCTCCCCCATCCATCCATGTCTCCGTGCTTTATTTTGCTGATAAATCATTCTGAAAAACACTCCCTGGCATTTCTGACAGTGGCCATCTTGCATAAGAGCAGATGATTCATGTATCATTTACTTCCTGGAATCCATCTGCCCTTAGCTCAGCATAGGCTGAACTGAGAACCCTCCCTCCGCTCATGAAGACTGCTGGGATGTATGACATTATTTGCCTAGGCATGGAAACCAGGAAGTGACCAAAGAAATATAAATATGATATACTTTCCTATCTATTTACTAATGCTAGCAGCATATGGATTAAAAATAGCCCATGCTGACTGAGAGAGTGAAGTTTCACTCTACATAGTTAATCTGGCTGAAAAAAAGACAAAAGTCCATCCAGTTCAACCATAGAAAAAAAAAAAAAGTTCAAGTTCAACATATGTTCCCACCTAAACGCAACACATTTGCCCATCTCCTTTATCTAGATCTTCTTCAGAAGTTTGAATAGATAAAGTGCAGATCTCACAGAGCTCAAACTGATCTCCAATTCTATGCTAGCTCCATACATAAAATGTACAAAAGATGAATAAGCTGTATAGGAGCCCTCGTCTTTTCCCTATCCTTACACAAAGACATTAGTATAAATACTACCAGGAGGAACACAAAATATGGATTAAAAAAGGTAATTTATCTATTCAGTCACGTTTGTTTCTGCAAGAAACCCCATTTTCCACTATTTCTAAGAGTAGTTCAAGTCCAGCTGGGGTTGGATGCATTCATTGCTATAGAAAATAGGAAATAAAGATACAAAGTCATTTTATAAAATACAAGATATTATAAACTAATCCTCCTATCTTTTTACAACCAAAGACAGTGCCATCTTAGCCTCCTGTTTAGATCCACAATTGTACCAGCCATTTGAGGGCTTGAACGTTTGGTTGAGAGCTGGAATAAGCACACTGCACTCTGTACATGCATAAGCATGTAGCATGCAAATGAAAACCCAGCAGAAAACACGGGTACATTTCAATTAAGGATTTAAATTACAAGGCTTGGATCCAATAGGCCTTTGGTCAGTTCACTACATTTGAAACAGATTAGGAAAAAAGAAATCCAGGAGGATCTCCTATATTTTGAACATAAAATTGTAGAAAAGCTAAAACCAATGGCCACTACTTCATACGCTTACTACTTGATCTCTCTGCGGCTTTTGATACTGTTGACCATCCCCTCCTCCTCAAAAAAATCCACTATCTTGGCCTCCGAGACTCTGCTCTCTCCTGGTTCTCCTCCTACCTATTGCAGCGCTCCTTCAATGTTACCTATAACTCTGTCTCCTCCTCTTCACTTCCTCTTTCTGCGAGGTTCTGCCCTTGGACCCCTTCTCTTCTCCATCTACACCTCCTCCCTTGGTCGCCTGGTAAACTCCCATGGCTTCAAGTACCATCTCTATGCTGATGATACACAAATTTGTCTTTCTACTCCTCACCCCTTCAGTCTCCTCTCGCATTACTAGCCTACTAAGTGACATATCAGCATGGATGTCACTCCACTTCCTCAAACTCAGTCTAAAACAGAGCTCATACTATTCCCTCCAGCCCATGCCCCCTTCCCTGACTCCTCCATCAAGATCAATAATACAACCATCAGTCCCTCCCCTCATACCAGGGTGCTAGGTGTAGTCCTGGACTCCCATCTGTGCTTTCAGCCCCAAATCCAATCACTGTCTAAATCTTGTAGATTTAACCTCTGTAACATCTCCAAGATACGCCATTTTTTAACCACTGAAACCACTAAGCAACTTATTCACTCCCTGGTAATCTCTCGCCTTGATTATTGTAACTCCCTCCTCATTTGCCTACCTAATCGCAGGCTATCCCCTCTTCAGTCTATCATGAATGCTGCTGCCAGACTCATCCACCTTACCAATCGTTCTATGTCTGCCATCCCTCTCTGCCAATCCCCTCCACTGGCTTCCCATTGCCCAACGAATAAAATTCAAAACATTAACAAGAACATATAAAAGCCATTTATAACTCTGCCCCACATTACATCACCAATCTTGTCTGCATATATCACCCAAACCGTCCTCTCCATTCCTCCCACGACCTCCTGCTCTCTAGCTCCCTTGTCTCCTTCCATGCTTTCTCTAGAGCCTCCCCCATCCTCTGGAACTCTCTACCCCAATCTATGGCCTACTCTGCCCACTTTCAGGCGATCTCTGAAAACCCTATCTCTTCAGAGAAGCCTATCCTGCCTTCAGCTAATAACTGAATCCTCTATTTCTCCTATCAGTCCATCCCCCACAGTTATTACCTTTTGTACCACCAGCCCCTCCCTCTTAGATTGTAAGCTCCAAGGAGCAAGGCCCTAATAACCCTCTTGTATTGAACTATATCGTTGCTGTATTGTTTCCCTTTATATTGTAAAGCTGTCAGGAATGGACTGGCCAGCAATGGTGGGACTCACCTGCCTTATGAGCTGCAGTACCAGGGCTGGCCAGCGGGTGCTCCCAGCAATCAGAGACTCAACCTTGCAGCCAATCAAACACCTGGAACTGATTATACTGGTGTATTTAAGGGATGGCCAGACCTGCAGACTTGGCCTTGGTGTGTGTTTTTCCTGGGCCCTGTATCTTGTTCCTGCATCCTGTTCCTGTCTTGTTGCTGACCCTGCCTGATCTGACCTCTGCTGACTTCTCCTGCTCTGACCCCGGCTCGTTCCTGACCATCCCTCTGCCTGACCCTCTGTACCACGCTGCCCGCTACCTGCTGAACCTGGCTTGTGACCCCGACCATTCTCCGCTTGCTCCCCCTGTACCTACCTGCCCGATTGATATTGACCCGGCCTGCCTGACGACGCTTGCATTGTATGTACTGTTATCTGTGGGTGGTTTGGTTCGTTTGCACTGTGTTATGTTTTAGTATTGCACTGCGTTTATGTTTGTATTGTTAGTGTTAATAAATTATATTGTTTATAACATATCTGAAGTCTGCGTTTCCCTGCGTCAGTCACACACCTCTGGTCATACCCAGGAGCCCTGACAAAAGCACTGAGCAAACCGTTGACGCTATATAAATTAAGATAATAGAAAACAAGACAGTAAGTGTAGAGAAAGGTAGGAGGGAAAAAAAAAAGGGTAGAAAATGAAAGCAGGGAGAAAAGGTAGGGAGGAGCACCGCAGGAGCCATGGAGGAAACATCCTGTTATCAAAGGAGAAGAGAAATCTCACAAATCCAGGAGCGGTTGAAGTCAGATGGCGAAAAAGCACGAAATCCACGGGTCCCATGTTTTGTGAAAATTATGGGCAGTTTTTCATTAGTACGCATCCAGTGCACCTTATATTTATTTTTTTTTGCCACTAAAGAAAGGGAATTCAAACAGCTTCAACTTGCTCTGTTGCTGTAAAAACATGATTTGTTAGTCTAAATTGACACTTCAAAAGCACATCTGGTTTCAAATTGAGTAATGAGGCTCCAGTGCAGGATATCAACGTTGATTAGCATTTTCAACATATTGTAGATTTAATCTTAGACTTAGCTTATTGTACACAAGCCCACCATATGTGCATATAAGGTTAGGCTGTGACACACACAGTCTCTAAGAGTGGTAGAAAATAGGGTCCTTGCATGAGAGTCAACAGGCAACTGACTTGGAGTATCCACATCTGCATTAACTTCAAAAACATGACCCTGCCCAATAAAACATGCTCACAGCATGGGGAGAGGGCCTATTCAAGCCAGTCTGAACAATGGTATACCTGAGAAATAACTTTTTAAGAAGGCTTATTATTCGGAACTGGCTGCAGCAGAGAAGCTGAGGGACTAATGTGAAGGGGTGTTGTTCACCCCAGGGCCCTTGAACTTTGATGAAGGTGCTCAGTAGGGTAATTCCCCTGGTGCGGAGGTCTGGGAGGTGGAGCAGCAGGTCTGCCATCTCCGGCAGTGGAGGCCCTGTAGCATAAACTCTAGGAAAACTGGTCAGGAGACACGGAGGCCAAGGTGAGCTGAATATCATCCAGATAGTGTTGGATCTCCGGTAGGGTGGTTCCATAGTACTGGCAGTTGCGGTAAGTGAACAAAAGACAGAACGGGAACCACCACCTATAAGGAATGTGATGCACCTGCAATATCTGCAGGGCAAGTGTTTGGCGATGGTAGAGGGGGTCAGGTCTGCAAATACTTGATAGGCATGTCCCTGGTAACTCAAGGGTTCTCTTAGGTTTGGGAAGCTCTCCTTAGTGTGATAGCACAGGAACAGCACCTTATTGAGGATATCCCTGGGACCATCAGATGTTTGGATTCAGTCATGTACAATGTACCCTCAATCATCAAAGTGTTCAATCAGGATGGAAGGGACAAGTTCCTGTAATAGAGTGGTCATAGTTGCTTGCAAATCAAGAATCATTACAGATATACTGCGGAAATGAAAGTTACTGCATCTTGACCAATTCTCCAGGTCCTCCACCTGGGTCTGCAATTGCAGAATTTCCTCCTTCAAGATTATCAAGCTCTTTATTTGACCTTCAAAGGCAGATACTGCATAATCCAAGCAAAACTCAAGATCAGCTGTCCACTGACCTACCTCCTATATCTCCCGTGTAAGTTTGTCCATGAAGTGTCTTTCAGTTTGTTTGTACAGCTTTCTACAACAAAGTACAACAAAAAGTGCAGAGCAGTTAAACTTGGTCATGATACTCTGGGATGGGTGATGGCGAGCCCATGCAGCTGTCTGAATAGTCTTCTCCAGAGTGATGTGTGAGACAGGT